AAATCAAAGTCTGGTCAGTAGACAACCTGCTGAAATTATGACAAGACTGACCACATAAATATGAACTGCAGAAATCCTAAGAAGATAGAGAATGATAGCGCAAATGTGGTATCTGAAGAAGTACATGATGCACTATTGCTGATAGTTCATAGATCTGTTGATAACTGGATATTGGATTCAGGTGTTTCTTTCCATACAACATTGCATCTGAAATTGATGTGAAATTATGTTGCAGAAATTATGTTGTAAGTGACTTTGAAAAAGTATATCTAGCAGATGGAGAAGCGTTAAATGTGGTTGAGAGTGGGTCCGGGACACTCATTCCTATTATTCTACAGATATGTGGTAGAGAACCACAGAACAATGAAGATTTCTTGCAAGATGAAAATTCAAGCAAGTGAGAGCTGACAAAACTTCCACCAGGGAAGAAGACATTACACAACAAGTGGATATACCAGGTGAAGATTGAGCTTGATGACAGTGAGAGGTACAATGCTAGACTTGTTGAAAAATATTTTCAACAGAGGCAGGATATTGCCCATGGAGTGGGAGTTGTAAGCAGATACAAGAGTAACCCATGAAATAGCTTGGAGGTGCAAGACTATGTGAACCTTGCTTATATATTAACTAATGGTGTTACTCTTGAGAAACTAAAGTTGTGTACAACTTCAGTTCGTCTTCTCGTATGAAGACAGCGACTTTGAGTTGCAGAGGTAGAGGATTCATATTTAAAGAAAATGGTGACGCTGCCAATGGAGGATATCAGTTTAAAGAAGAAGTTGTAGCATGTGTATCAGTCTTCAAGTGGGAAATTTGTTAAATGTGGAGACCTATTTCCCGCTCCAGTCAGTCATTTCCCACTCCCGATCACGAAACAATCGCGACCCACTCTTGACTAACATCGATTCAGGAACAGCGCCAGCCACTCCCCCCTTCCTTTGTCGCGAAGCGAAACATCCCTTCACTCCCTGTTATTTCGCGATAAAAGGAGCGGCTCTTCTTCAGATTTTGCACGACCGTTTTTGTGTTTTCCTTCGGCAGTTATGCTTCCACGAGATAGAGGAAGAAGAAAGAAGAAGAAGATTGTTCTCCCTTAGCTTCTTCTTCTTAGTGACTTGTGACAAAAGAGAAATTAGGTTTATTTCTCTTATAAGTTTATCTTCTTCAGTGTATCTCGGTATAGAGAGAGAAGAAGAGAGCAAGAAAGTGAAATCTCTCTTGTAAGACGAGATAACCAACTGGTGTACATTCCTCAAGTAATAAAATTCTCTGCAACTTCGTGGACGTAGACAATTTGCCAAACCACGTAAATATGTGTGTTCCGCTGTATTACTGTTTTCTAATACAAATTTTCACGTTCTAGTTTTCGCTTCATCGTCGATCGTTCTATTTTATATATATAGCACTACAGCTACCAAAAGCTTTGGAACAAAGATAGGGTTGAATATTTTGCATTATTATAGGAGTAATCAAAATAGGTTTTCTGAGGTGGCAGCAATGACGCAACGACATGTGATATGCATTCCAATTTCCACACTAGTCTCACAAGGTGCATTTTGTAATAATGGAAAAATTCTAGATAAATATGAAGGTTGATTAGAATAAGATATTATTGAGTTATTATTATTAGTTTGTGTAAAATTATTCTCAAATTGGTGGGCTTGCCCTTCGTTCCAATCAATTCTCATGTATTTACATACTAACACTTAAATTTAAATTTTTATAGACATACCCATCTTTTATATGGTTGAAAGGTGTATTTCACTTTCCTAAACTAAAATGGTGGTATTTTTTATGTGATATGAAAATTTGGATGGTAGAAATTAAAAAAAAAAATTAAGATTTTTTATATGTAAATAAATAGAAATTTGATGGTATGTAGGTAACTGTCCCTTTAAAATTGATATATATATATATTTATTGGCATATATGTAAATGTTAAAATTTAGGTTTTAGAATTGTAAATACATAGAAACTAAGTGGTACAAAAGTAAATCCTTTTCTTTTAATAGCCAGATGAAAATTTATTTCAAAATATTTAGTTTTTTAGTATTTTCATATTCTTTTAATCACCATGATAATTTGCTATTTACTCTTATAATAATTTTAATAATTTTAAAATTTAAATGTTTGGAATCAGCATCATGAAATTTATCAAAAAAACACTCTAATTTATAATAATTATAGAGAATTAAAATAGGCAAGATATTATTACTCTTAAAAATATATATATATAAGAATATATACCACATTATGTTTTTTTCTGACAAGTTGTTAGGCATTAATATGTAGAGCACATTTGACATGCCACTTTCCCCACACGACAGGCTGTGGCTTCCAACCAGAGTGTTGAATCCCAATATAAATAAATAAATAAATAAATAGTAAAATAAAAATTAAAAAAAACTATGAACACTTGGTTGTTTTTGTTCAAAATTGACACTTCCATGGCTTGTATTTAAATACCTATTAATTCCTATAAAATATTTTTATAATGGGAAATGCATAGACTTACCAACCAATTTTTTATATAATTACATGTCTGACAACAAAACTTTACATTTTATATTTATTCTATCCATTTTTTTTTTATCACATCAATGTTTCCACTATTTTAGAAATAAAGCGAAATTTACATACATGCCAGCAGATTCTTATGTGTTTACATATCTAACACCCAAAATTCAACATTTACACATATAACATCTTTGTATCATAAATCTATGTATGAAAAAAATGTACTTTTTCAAAAGTATAGTATGTTGTCATTTTTGATCTGATGTTAAAGGATTTGAGTGATATACATGTAAATATGAATTTTTAGATGTTAGATGCCTAAATACATAAGAATGGTGTGATATATCTTTGTAAATGCCCCCAAAAACAAAATGTACCTTTTCATGCATGGATAAAGTGGCAAATATATAAAAATTTAAGTTTAGGTGGTAGATATGCAAATATCAAGACATTAAGTGTAAAATAGACAAAGCTTCCTTTTGTAATTTGTAAAACAACCATATGCCCGCTGAAATAAAGTCGACAGCGTGCAATGCAAATATCAGTCTAACTGAAAATGTTATAATAGGAATATTCCTAAATATGCCTTTATCATACAATGCATGATTTATCCAAACACAGAATATCATAAAGAGGGAAAAAATGTTACATCAGTACTACACACGTAGAAGTAACGTGCGTAGCCAATGAAATCACGCCACGACACTCCGCGCGACAGAGAAAAAAAACGTCGCATTAACACGGGGATTATTCCCTCATGTATTATTCATGTGTTACCCTGTGTTATTTAGATGTTATTGCGTGTTATTCATGTGTTATTGATGTGTTGTTGTGTTATTATAACACCAAGAATATTCTCAGGACACAATAACTCATGAATAACACACAATACCATCTAAATAACACAGGGAATATCCCCGACAGAGAAAAAAACGACGCAGTAACAGAGGGAATATTCTCCCCCATGTTATTCATGTGTTATTGTGTTATTATAACACTAGGAATGTTCCCATGACACAATAACACATGAATAAGACGGGGTGGGGAGGGGAATATTACCAGTTTTACTGCGCCATTTTTTTTTCTCTTTCGCGCGGGGTGTCGTGGCGTGATTTCATTGGCTACACAAGTTACTTCTACGGGTGGAGTACTGTTGTAATTGTATTTACACATCCATACTTCAAATTTTACATACATGTCAGCATGTTAATGCATGAAAACATGTATTTCACATTTTAAGCTGCTTAAAATGATGATGTTTTTGATGTTATATGAAAATTTTAGTTGATAACGTGTTAAAAAATGAATTTAGGTGCTTTCACATGCAAATACATTAGAGTTGGTTGGTATGCGGGTAAATGCCCCTAATTAGCAAGTGATAAAAAAATAGTGTTGAAATTTAAGAATTTTATGCAAATTAATACGATTTTAAGTTTATTAGATAATGTCGCCCAAAAGTTCAACAGATCAATTACTATTTAGAATATATTAAGACACAAGAGGCCGACTTCTTTATATAAATACACTTAAAAAAATTGCATTCCATCATATAAATTGACCAATTCGCATATTCATATAAAATGAGTGCTTGGGATGTTTTTTGCTTCTTTATAAAATAATATTTAACATTTATTTTATTCTAATTTTAAGAAAATCTATATTTATGCCTCCATAAAAAAAAATAGAATTTGAAAATTATGTTTTTAATAAATTCTAAATAATTTGATTGTCATCTAAATGTAGAAAAATTATTAAGTCCGGACCAGACGTAGAGATACGTCCGGAGTCTAATAAATCAACTCCAAATGAAGATGACAGAAAAAAAAAAAAAAAACTCGTTTTCTTGTAATCCAGTTCAGTAACACGGGAGAATACTCCTTTCGTGTTATTTCATATTATTTAGATATTATTATGATTGTATTAATGTGTTATTGTGTTATTATAACATCAAAATATTCCAAGAACACAATAATATATGAATATTACTACAATAACACCTGAATAACACGGAAGAATATTCCCTTGTGCTAAAATAATTTTTTTTTTTCTGTCACCTCCATGTGACATGATTTTATTGGACTTTGGACGTATCTATACGTCAGGAGTCCAGACATAATATATGTTCCTAATGTAATACTTCATTAAAACTAAGTATGAATTCTATTAATACATATATATTTTTTTAATGATAGATGTAAATCTCTTATTTTTTTACTAATCTATAAAAACAAAATTAAAAAAAAAACCTTTGTTTTTTGAGATAATTGCACACATCTCAAAAATATTTTATTTCCAAACTAAGCATCCAGGTGATTTTTTTGAACTATGAAATCTAGGCATTTAAATATTTCACGACCAAATCATTGTAAATTCGATAAATATAAAATATAAGGATTGGGGTTTTATCATGAGATGTCACATTCGAGGGAGAATTTGAAAAATGAATAAAAAAGGGAGCTTAATTTGTAAATAGCAAGATCGCTTTTTTTTTTCCCAACATAAGTTTATTTGAAAACTTACCTACCCATCTCTCAAAGTTTCGCTTACTTATCCAAAACCCTACCCCATCGCACTCGCTAGTCCGTCCTACTACAGCCGGCTCCCATGGAGCAGCCCAAAGGTCTCGCCGGACGGCAACCACCGCAGTCCGCTTCCGTCGACGAAACTAAACGAGACCAGAACAAGCGGCAGCCTCCGAGCCCGGAAGAGATACTGACATTCTACGAGTCCCAAGGATTAGACCACCGCGCCGCGTCCCTCAAAGCAATCGAAGACCTCCAATCCGCCCTCCTCCGTGGCGCCGCCGCTTCGCGCCGCAACCGCCTCGCTCCCTCCGGCGATCTTCAACGCAAGGTCGACAATATCAACACCAGCCTCGCCATCCTCCAAATGAAGCTCGACTCTAAGCCCGGCTTTCCCGAATCCCTCGCCATCGGCCTCGCATCCGGCGCCCTTATCCACGGCCTCTCCTCCGCCGTCCGCACCGAAGCCTGGCGCTCCGTCGCCTCCGTCACCAAATCCCGCACTCCTCCCTAAACCCTCCTCCTCTCTTTCTCTCTTCCTCCCTCATTGTACGAAGAGAATTCATCCTATTTCATATCAAATCATTGTAGGAAATGGATTGTTGTTTTAATGTGTGTTTCTATGTAACAAGTTTCTACGATATATAAATTTCTGGTTATTAGTGCTTGAGTATGAGGCTCAGGAGTCAGGGTAGAGCAGGAGGATGATGGATGAGTAGCTGAGCATGGGGTAAAGGTTGGAGTTTAGGAAATGGCCAACCTGCTGTGTGACGGTTCTTTTATTATCGAGGTCGTCGGATAGAACATCGTAGGGCGGCGGCTTCGCTGTGTCGACGAGGGGTTCCCAACGGAATCCGGGCCGGGCCGGGAGGGCGATGATTGCTGGCAGGTGGCCGGCGCTGACGGTGGCTGGCGTTGAAGGCTATGTACATCTCCCTCTTCAGTGAGTCAATCTGCTTGGAACAACCAGAGGATGAGAAATTGAGATGAGGTTTAGATTGTATCAACTGTAGTGTACCAGTGAGAAGGCGACATATCGGCTTGTCTCAGACCAGTCCGGCGCGCCGGGGTGGTGGCCGTGCCATTGCAGTTTTTCCGCCGTGGGGAAGTCGTCCAGGCGAAGGGATTCACACTCACTGCATGGGAGTTGAGTTGAATGTTAATAGAAGGATAATTCGTATGCATGCAAATTTTATGTACAACATTGTTGTATACTGTTATAACATGTATATATCAATGTACAACATTGTTGTATATAGAATCCACATGCATACGGACTCCCCCTCACAATAATTTTTCTAAGGGAAGAGGTGATTTGATTAAGGGCATTTACACATCTAAACATTGTTGTATACTGTTATATAACATGTGTATATCAATATACAACATTGTTGCATACAGAATCCACATGCATACGGACTCCCCCACACAATAATTTTTCTAATGGAAGAGGTGATTTGATTAAGGGCATTTACACATCTAACACTTAGTTAGGTGGTATATATGTCAAGACAAGAAATGAGTGGCATGTATGTAGATCTTCCTAATTAGGGTATGGGTTATGTGTAGAGAGTTTATATTACTGGCGGAATTGGGTCATAAGGCGGCAGAATCTGTAGAAGTCAGATGATGCTTCCTCCTTCCTGTCCCATCTGAAGTAGTTCAGCTGCATAACATATGGGAAGATGATGATGATGGATTAATTATATTTTGATGATACGCATAGGTGGAATGTGAGGGCAGTGTAAGAACAGAAGAGTACTACATAATTGTCATGGCAATATGTGTTGTTGTTGCCTTTCTTCGTGTGGCCATATTCATCACCCATGTGAATCATAGGAACGCCCTGAAAGATAATCATAGATTTAGAGGCCATTTGGGGTTACTTTTATTTTTTGTTTTATATTATTTATTTTTATTTGAAAGAATATATATATATATATATATATATATATATATATTTATTTGTTTAAATATTAGTA